ATCTCCACACAAAAATCACGCGAATCCGTCACTAAGTTTCGACGTGAAAGAAGGACACACAAACAAACACACTTTCACATTTACACATTTATAATATTAGTATGGATTTATCTTCATATGACAGGTACTTATATATAACTGGGTACAGTCAGTATTTTCGCTGTATTAGTATTGTATACGTACAATGGAAAAAATATTTTTTAATCTATGGATGCCATATCTTGTCCTACCTACGAGTATATATCTTTGATTACGTAAACGAAGCGTAGTAGGTGTGTGACGTACATATTGTAGTTTAGCCGAGTCTGATGAAGCCCCGCGACCTATAGATCCTATTAACACACGCTTAGCTACTTTTAAAGCCGTCTATCAATAACATACACACATGCATATAAATAAGATATAAGTTGGTTGGAGGTATTATTACTTAGTTATAGCCTCTACAAGGGTGTTTCCTCTTGTAATGAAAATTTGAACTTTCGTAAGCTGTTTTATTTGATCAATCTATACTTACATATAATTTAATTCTGAGTCGAATCTATACATGGAATATTTTTTGGAAAACTTTATTGAAATAGTCATTAGTATCGATAGAAGGGCCGAATCTATAGTTTTTTAAATTTTTGTGTGTTTGTCTGTCTGGGAACAACGCATCCTGAGAAAACCACTGGACAGATTTTGAGTTATGATGATAGCTGGTTATTCGGGTCCACATATATTAAACGTTAAAACTTAAACATAAAACAAAACTCTTATGTTGTAGATATAGCAAGAATACTAGCGCGATTACCAACAGGGTTAAAATTTTGAAAGAAGTTATTAAAATATTCTAGACCAATGAGACGGTCTCACAAGCATTAGTAGGATCATTCAATCAACAATTTTGGCCTCTGACAAATTATTTCTACGAAAAAACATAAAATAAGTGATTGTATCGAAGAGGCATTTTGAACCATAATCAGAGGGTAGACCAAACTGACCAAGATTAATCGGAACCATCGCGCATCGCCAGTTAGTTGATTGAAAGCGAATTTTATGCAGGATATCTTAAATATGGTGTTTACACGACCACGAAGTCATAAGCGACATCAAGTAAGCGTATGTCATTTTGGATTCATAACAAAACATATTATCATACTTAAACATTTATACGTTATCATGACAGTAGATAAATGTTAAAAAAATAAAATGAACTCATTTCGGAAACCGTGTTTGGCTTTTAAATTTAAAGTGGAAGTTATAAATTTCATAATGTTATAAATGTGAATGTAACTATTTGTTCGATACCTTTTCTAGACATTTTAAATAAAACTATTTTGTCCGGATTTTTTCCCAGATTTATTTAGATTTTTTTGTTCCCGACGTTTCGAATGCTTTGTAGCAATCAAACCGAAGCATAGTTTTATTTAAAAATGTCAAATATTCGCGTAAATCTAAGAAAGTATTACCTACTCCAGATTTCGATCAAATTTATCAAATATATAGATTGCATCAAGGGGACGGATATAAGTTTGACTTTCCCATCTTACCATGCGAGAGAAATGGTGAGCACAAATTAGTATTCTAAGTAGTCAAAATCCTTGCGTATACTTTGTTATAATATCAAAATGCAATGAGTGCTTCCCGGAGGATGGGTAGCAATATTATTATAAAAGTTACTTAAGTGTGCGCACAATTTAGTTAGCGACTGGGCAAAGCAAGTACCTAGTACTATAAATACTACTTGTATAGCCTATAAAATATAATATAAAAATATACCTCTTTTGATAAATTAACTTAAAATTATAAATCTCTAAGTTCGTTTATCTATACATATAATAAAATTGTAACTAAGTCGAATCTGTACATTAAATATTTTTTGGAAAATCTAATTGAAATAGACATTATTATCGATACAGAGTCCGAATCTATAGTTTTTAGAATTTTTGTCTGTCTGTCTGTTACCGCATCACGAGAAAACCACTGGAGGGATTTTGATTATATTTGGTATGATGATAGCTGGTTATCCGGGTCAAAATATAGAATACTTTTTACCGCGGTAAAATATCTCATTTCTGAGAAAAAATACAAAAACTGCAATGTAAGAGTAACTGATATGTAAAACCTAAGAATTTGGTTTTTGGTCATCTGAACGCGGGCGGAGCCGCGGGCAATGCTAGTCAAATATAAAGGTCTAAGTTAAAATATAACAAAATCCATACATTATAAAGACACTATTGTCTAATTATTTCATACAATTTCATGCAAAACAGGAAGTAATTTATCAGCTACAGCATCTCACATTAAATAGTGTTATATCGTTCTTATAAAGATAAAGTTTTGTTTGGTTGATTTAATGTAACAAATCAAATTTAATTCTTTGAAAACAATCATATATAACCGTGTTACTGGTTAACTGGTACAATGGCGGCATCTTAGTTCATTGTTTGTCGACCTAACAACTATATTATTATAAATAGTAAACAGTTATTATAAATAGTAAGATTGTTTAGTTAAAGTTGCAATTATGCATCAAGATGGTGTGTGCGAATGATTTTTTTTTATTTTATTATATTTTTCTACATATATGTCCGGTTAAATACTAAGCTGTGCGTTTGTCTCATATTTGGTCAAAGTTTATATTTGTATTATTCTAATACTTTGAAAAAAAAAACTAGAATTTAGTTTCATAAAGCTTTCAATATAATTTGAAAGATTATTGACGGATCAACAAAGATTGTACGTAGCTAATGTGCTACCGATTGTACATATGTTATACTAAAATTTTAGAAAATTTTAAGAATAAACAGTACGTAATTTAAATATTGGGGAATTCATATCGGTGTTGATAAGCTAAAACTCTCTCTGTTATCACTGTAGTCGAGATGTCGCCTGTCAGCGTTTGATTGATTCGCGAGGCCGACTCTGAGGAGCTGTGGAATTGTTCACATTCGAGACCAAGGTTATGGAGACCGTGAATATCACGAATGTTAAAATTAAACTATAATAGATTTTATAGCAAATTGTTCTAAAATGTTATAGGAACAAGTGTTTCTACTTCCGGAAATAATAGTTTTAAAGGTATAAAAGCTTAATGATGATGTAAATAGAAAGACTTTTTAAGCTTTTCACGTCCGTATTAAGAAACTTAGATGAGTAGATTCAAGTAAATTCTGTAGTAAATTAAAAATAAAATGCCAAAAAATCCGTGCATGGTAGTTTGCAAATAATATTTTGAAAATCTAATCATAGAACTAATGATTTTGCTGATAGGAATGTAAATTTTATGTTTTCTAATCAATCAGGAGCCAGTCTTCCTCTTCATGGTTTAATTATATAACGTAACAAAGATATTTAAATGAGTCTACGTTCGAGACTATGTTTTTGTCACGAGGAGGGTTGGATCGTGTTGAAGGCAGCCTTGTAGACTATCACTATTGTAATAAATACAATTCAAATTTAAACAATGAATCTTCATGCAAATAACGGTATGTAATTTATAAATGGTAAATAGAATGTGTAGCTCTTAAAAAGCAGTAGCAGAAAGGCTTTCATGGAGTTTTTGTTTGTATTGAGCACGCGAGACGATTTCTCGATGAATGGTGATATAATTAATGGAAATGCTGAAACAATTTTTATTTAAAATCTTACATAATTGTTATATTTTATAATCATTGTTTTCGCAAAAGTCGATGTTATTGTTTTTACATTTAATATATAAAGATATAACAAATATTAATGTGTGCATAATTCAATATTAAACTTTTTGACTAAAATGGTACGTCTACTTTGAAATCACGTTTTTTTAATTTCACCCTTTAGGGAATCGTGTATTCTGTTTGAAATTTATAATGAACCACTATGTGAACCACCTTTGTGTTAGGTATACTAGTATAGTATTATATGATCTGTGGTATAACGAATACATTGAAAAAATAAAACTAATTATGGAAATCTGTTTATCATTAATAATTAACACAGAAAAAGTGTAAAACAAAAATAGGTATATAATACATAGGCCTTATACCTACATTTATGTAAATGTATGAGTGATTTTACTCACCTATTAATCGTTGAAGCAATCCGTTGATATAACTGAGTATAAACATAACAAAGTCTCCGGATTTTAAACTTACACATTTTACACAATTTTCATGAAAAGCACTGAGCAGTAATGATACTTAATTTTTTTTCTCAAAAAAAAAATAAAAACGTTATAAAATACAAATATTGTAAAATATAAAAAGATCTATTACATCACAAAATGACATATTGATAAGGTCTGTCAATGAAAATGAAACATTTGTCGTCCGATAAGAAACCTCTTTGGATCTAAACTAAAATTAGCTGTATTATAATAGCTTTCTAATAAGGATGTTTTTTGTAATCAAATATTAACTAGGTAAACCTATTGTTAACAATAAACCCTTTTTTTTCCTTTAAATTTTTACTGTAGGAGTATTTGCAGTTAAAGTAATTTTGATATCCTGTTCTCGTCGAAGAGTTCTATCGCTATTAAGACTGGCCTACATACACCCCCTACAACGTCACAAGCTCACAATCCCACAAACTACCTCTTTATAATATTAGTATAGATATATAATAATATATAACTAATTAATATATAATTATACTAGCATTACCTGCGGCTACGCCTGCGTTCAGATGACCAAATTCTTAGGTTTTACATATTAGTATACTCTTACATTGTTGCAGTTTTTGTACTTTTTCTCAGATATGAGACATTTTTCCGCGGTAAAAATATCCTATATGTTGACCCGGATAACCAACTATCACACTACATACATACCTTGACCTAACGAAAATAAAGTAGGTACTTTGTTTTGGAAATGAGGTAAGTCTACTTTTATAACTATGATATTAAAATACCTAACTGCCTCTGTGGTGTAGTAGCTAGCATGTACGGCTGCACACTCGGAGGTCCTGGGTTCGAGTCCCGGGTCGGGCCAAGTTTAGTTATTGAGTCTTTCTGTATAGTAAGTCTCAGTAACAGCCCGGAGATGGGAAGTAGGCGGAGCTTCAACCCCGTGCCCCGGAGAGCACGTAAAGCCGTCGGCCTAAGCTCTCACCGGTCGTGTCGAACTGTCGTCCCACCGGAGTATGAGAGTGATAGGAATAGAGAGTGCACGTTGTGTTTGCGCGTACACTTGTGCACTATAATATCTCCTGCGCAGTTGGCTAGTCTCAATGATATCGGCCGCCGTGGCCGGAATCGGTCAGGAGAACATCATCATCATTAAAATACCTTAATCACTTTACAATTCTATTAGGTTTTAACCAGTTTCCTGGTACTTTGAAGTCCAAGATCCAGTTTCAATGAAATTAAGATAAAATAACCATGAAGTTTAATCTTTAAAGTCAGTTCATACTCAAGGAAATAATGTCTAAACATACATAAAATGAATAAACATACGAAACAATAGTAGTCTCTCAAAGTAAATACTGTAAGCATGACTTAAGCCACAACACTCTTAAGTAACAAAATAATACGTTTATCCTTATTTCTGACATGCATATCGCCTGTCGAGATTGATTAAATCTTGAAATATATGAAAATTTACGTAAAATATACCTAAAATAATATATCAATAGTTATTTTCGTCTACGTTTTTCCTTTTGCGATAGTTTTATCTGTCAATATATTGATAGAAATTTTGTTCTCTCCGCCTCAACCTCTATGAAATAATAATGTAATATCTATTTATAATTTCAATGGTTTCTATAATAGGTACCTATTAAAAATGTGAAACACAAATATTTTTCATCTTATATGGAAATATTTTTTTATATGAAAGCTCACAAATCCTATGTCGAAAATGAAAATAAAAAGAACATATACATACTTATGACACATTTGTACAAACGCATAAAATGAAAATCCAATAAAAGTGAATCATGAATAGAATGAATCGATAAACAGTTTCAGTACGTCTTCATTTGCCGTCTTTACTTTACATTACGCGTGGGCAGGGGCCAAGGCATATAACAAAGAAGGCAATAACTGAAACAACCAGATTGTTTATATAGGAGAAAACAATCTCTCGCCCCCTGGGATGCAATAAGTGTAATCCGCGGAGTCAAAGATCTAACACTGATTTGAAGTGGCTTATAGATAGTTTTTTCTTTTGTAACGTTTTTATATAAACCATACGGAAGTCTCTCCGGTGACTTTTTATCCCGTTATTGCCGTAAAGCATTTGAAACGTCATATATTTGAGACATTTAAACCAAGTTAAGAATTTAAAAAAATATGTTTTAAATACAAGTAAAAATATTAATTTCATAATTTTATAACCGGGTACCTATAATACCGATATAATACCGAATACCGATATAATACCGAATAAAAGATATAAATATAACATCTTACATATTTTGTCGTATTTCTCGTAATAATTGACATATAAGCCACACTCGTGTCCAAAATACTCTTTAGAGCTTAAATTAAAACACAAAAGGGCTTTTAAATTAATGTATTGGTGAATGTTTTCTTTGTATATAAATTCAGGCACTGGTTATCATTACCTTTCCTTGTGTAAGCTTTCAAGAATGATAAAAAATACCATATTATCATAGTTTTACATGTGAGTAAATATGAATGCACTTATTATTATTTGGCCACGTGATATTAAATAAATTTTCAATATGTTATTTAAACAACTTATTGAAAATTATGCACATTTGCATTCATTATGAAAATAACGGAAACGATAGGCCAATTCAATTCAAGTAAGAAAATTGAATTGACGTATCGTTTTCTTGTTAATGGCTTCAAAGTGCCATTTGAGCACAGATTACTTTGCCAATGTCATGTAGAATGGAGAAGACACGTACCTACGTCTACACTTACGGATTAGATAATATGTATTGTTGGTACTTGACAAAGATTATTTTATGATCATTTGTCTCATACATTGGTAATTTTAGCCCTTAAGATTATTCATCTTCTATTTATATCTATCTATCAATATATATAAAAAGCAACAGTAACTGACTTAAGGCTAGAAAATTTAAATTTTGCACACGTATTCCTCATATGACGATGGCATCGACTAAGGAAGATTTTTCAAAATTCAACACCCAAGGGGATGAAATAGGGGATGAAGGTTTGTATGAAACCTAGATTTAGGTAGATTTTTTTGTAGTTTTAGCGCGAGCGAAGCCGCGGGTTCTGCTAATCTTATTATATAATACCAAGTAAACATTCTTATTTTATAGCGTTGTCTCTCAATTAGAAGAATCACTTTCAAACTTTTGAAGAAATAAGTGTTTCGTTGAAAATATCTTGTGACATGAAGAGAAAAAGAGAAATTTTGCACGTTTGAAATGACCGAAGAGAACACTAAATGAAAAATAAACATAAAATATTAGATTTAAAAAAATTAAAATAAACTATAAACATGTTGTTCCTTATCCTTTAGCATGTATTATCAAACCTATACTAACTTATAAAAATACATGCCATTAAGTAATAATTCTCTTTAGTAAATTTCACAAGAAGACTTGTCTTGAAATTATTTTTTAACGATGTCACATCTAGTAGAACTCTATGATTCGTATGGGCGGTAGGGCGGGCGGCCGTGACGGCGGGCGGCGCGCGCGCTTCAGTCTCCTTCCGCTATGCGAACCCGAACAGTCTAACTGCCGACTAGTGGACTAACAACTTCTCTCATTATTTACTTCCACACGATATCCTGAAAAAATGTATCTGTAAAGTTATCGTCAAGTATTGTTAGTGGTTTTTAAAACAACTAAGTTTAAAAAAAAGCTTATAGAATCGGGCTTAACTGATTTGTTCTTATTTTATAATCATTTTAAAGTTCACCATATGTGACTTTATTATGTTATTAAGTACCAAATCAAAAATTAAACAATTTGTGATTACACAATATACAGTAAATATAAAATTATAAAAATTAGTATCGTCTCAAACTTTCCGTACTAAGCAATGATTTTATGATTTTCTTCTGATCAAACTTATTTAAATCGTTAAAATGGCTGACAAATTAAACGAATATCAAGGAGTGACAGGAAGAATACATTCCACGAGGGACAAGTGTAAAGAGCGCTGGGCACAATGGAAGGAGGAGCATCCCCAAGGGGTGAGGAAAGCTGTAAGAGAAGCTCTCTTTGCTATACCATCTTCGGATGAACCACCTGAACGGGTTGTAAAGGAGGGTGAATACAGTGATTTATTTAGGCAAGTTTTTTTATTATAAACTAAGAACTGGTAGGTATTTGTTGTTGACAAAATAATTTTCATTTATATTCACACAACTTTACTTTGCGGGTTAAAATATAAAATGTAATCTCTTAATAGTAGTTAGTATTGCTTTTTAACTTAATAATATGTTAGTTTGTTGTTTACTTTGTTTTGAACAAACTTGGTTAAATATCAACACCAAATTTTTACTCCATCCAGGATCTGAACCAGTAACATCCGACATGTTATTATTTAGTAAAACTAATAAATTTTTTTTGTTCAAATCAATGATTTAGTAAATGTTCAATTTTTATAATAATTTATTGTAATATATTTTAATCGGAAATAATTAAATCCATAACATTTATTAATACAGGAGAAAAAACAGACTTGAATTAATGAGAATATCCGCAGCGGTCATGGGCATTGAGTTTTCATATGCTGGAGAAACGGCGTTTGTTTCTCCAACACTTCTTCAAATAGGAGTTCCTCATCAACAAATGACTCTAGTGTGGGCTCTCTCACCGCTTATAGGATTCTTTATGACTCCTTTATTAGGATCTCTCAGTGACAGATGCCCGTCAAAGTATGGAAGACGGAGACCGTTTATTGTTCTAATGTCGATTGGAGTATTTTTAGGTAAGTTAAAATTATAAACAAATATTTATCGAATATCAATGACTTATCTCTTTAATTACACAATATAAGAAAGTTTAGCTTAACAATTTAAAAATACAATTGTTAAAGAACTTTTTTTAAATTTATTTACACTTAACTTTATTTACAGGCTTAATTTTAGTTCCAAATGGCGAAGATTTAGGTTATGCCATGGGCGATGAAGGGGCTGTTAATAGGACAGTGGTCCCCTCAGCTTTAGGGCCTAGGAGTTCAGCTCTTGATGTCCAGGGCAATAATCACCACCCCTGGGGGGTGTTTTTCACAGTACTGGGCACAGTATTATTGGATTTCGACGCTGATGCTTGCCAGAGCCCCGCTAGGGCGTATCTCCTTGATGTGACTGTTCCAGGTCAGTTATATTATATATAATATATATATTTTTTTGTGTAATTTTCAGGTTACCTACTTAAAATATTGTGACCTACTACTCTGATAATAACAACTCGTATGTACAGTCAGTACTTAATATGCGGTTATACGAATAATTCTTTTTAAATAATTAAAATAAAATTCCTTTTCAACCGACTTCAAAAAGGAGGAGGTTCTCAATTCGACTGTATGTTTTTTTTTATGTTTGTTATTAAATTACGCAGCTTATGATTTTACATCAGGAGTGTGAGTCGCTCTCTCCATCCTCCCCAATATTTCTTAAATTTTTAGTATTTTTTATGTGATTCACATATTAAGTATGAATATATAACATCTCATAATTTGAAAAACAACAACACAAAACTACACACAAAGAACTTCTGTTAAGACAACGTTCTATTATATATACATGTAGGGATGATTTTTTTAACATGCTCTTACAACAAATAAGGCTAATTTATTTTTTTATGAGATTTATATTTATTATTTAAAATATGTTAGTTAAGATTAATAATAATTGGGCAATATAATTTCTTATTAATAGAAGAAAATAATAAAATTCAAAGTAACTTTACGTTGATGGTGGTTGCTTGTCATTATGTAGATAACTTAGAGAAGCAGAATCCTCTTATGTATGTGAACTTACGTGGCCTAAAATAGTATGTTTAAAGAAAGGGAAGCAATCATATACCTGTTTAAGTAAGAACGTATGAATTGTTATGCGATATATGAGTTTTGTCTCTGTTTTGTTGTGTTTAATATTTATTTGTTTAATACTTGTTACATATTTATTTATTTAATTAAAAATCGATCTAACTTAATGACTCAGGTAAATCTTTTATAAGTTGAGACTTTCCAGTGAATTTTTCGTAACCTATTTAAATGAGCTGCATCGCAATAGATTATTTTGTAGTTTACTATTTAAATTGAATGTTCTTCACCTACTTTAATAGATATGAGCGTTTGATTTAATTAAATATTTGTCTGATTAAACGTCATAACATGTGACAAACACTTCGGTAGTCACGCTGGGGACTGTGCTACATAAAATGTACCCAAAAAGACGTTCTTATCAAATCCTCTCGCTCTGATTGATTTTATCTTAACTAATCATATACGAGTATGTTTTAGTATATACCTGCTGAAGCAAAGTTCAATCACATTGTGACTAATAACATACAACATTTGCTCTATGTAAATAGATACGTGACTAGCAGTACCCGCGGATTCGCCCGCGTTCAAACTACTAAAAAAACAAACCCTTTGACACACCGACTGCAGCATCATCTACCGGGTCCATTTGTGAATTTAAACCTTGCAGAAACCCATTCCAATATACACAAAATATCATTAAAATCGTCCCTGCCGTTTAGGAGATTAGTGATATACTGACAGCAGCGCCACCTACTGGGTCCAATTGTATTTTCAAACCATCCAGGAGTCCATTGAGATATACACACAAAATTTCATCCAAATCAGCCCAGGCCTTTAGGTTTAGGCAGTAAGGTGACAAACACACGTACAGAAGAATTATATATATTAAGATATTACGTGATTTCTCCTTTTAAAACAAAAAATATAAAGGTTATCACTTAATATAATATTTATTCAAATTTATCTTATTCCATCTACATTTATTTCTACATATAATGTATATTACTTAAGGTAATTTTTTTGAGTTGGGATGTAAAAGATACACTCCGGATCTACTCATTCTAATCTAATTCAATATTCTTTAACTATTAGAAAGTTTTATTGTTATTGAGTGATAACTGATAAGCTATTATTATTATTATATTTTTTATTCTGGTGTGCCATGTTGTTTTAGTGGAATCTTAGAACAATGTTAAATATTTCGCAACAAAAGAGATGAAAGTGTGTATTCGTAGATGTCAAACGGACTGTAGTAGTAGAGCTTTAGCGAATTATCGTTGGGCAGTATGTCTAATTAGCATGTCTTAGAAACTGCGGGGCAGATGTCTGAGATGTCTCTTTGAACTCCATATCAGTGGTATATTTTCTCTCTTCGACCGAGACAAACCTTTTAATCGATTTTAAATCATATCAATTAGTTATACTTATATAGCTACGTGGAAGAAACAGCTCGGAAATAAATAGTGTGTACGTAATGTGTACAACATTTGCACTTGTAAATTGAGATATTGTATATATTTTATTGCTATCCTGGTTCAGACAAAGTGCAGCTTTAAGAATCGATATACCTAGGTTAAATAATAATAATGACAGACAGACACGTATTGTATAAATTCTGATTTAAACAGCAGTGGTTTAATTAGGGCGATTGATTTTTCTAATTCCATATTAACAATAACTTGGCTATATAATATCGTCCATTCACGTGTTACGAAGCCTTATAAACGGAAATTAGTTTTAAACATTGATTCTCATGGTGCTGTATATAAATAATTTATGAAGTAATAGGGAGTTGAATATGATTACTGCTTCGTGTATAATAATAAATAACAACAAGGTACTTTTGTATACTTACTGAGTTTTAGGGTTCCGTATATCTCATAAAAAACAGAACTCATGAGATTATTAATATATCTAGCAATTTGTTAGTCCGAATGTCTTGGCATATTTTCTTTCAATCTACTATATATAATAAAAAAGATTATAATAGAATTCTAAGTGGAATCTGTACATAAAGTATTTTTTGTAAAATGTTATTGTAATAGTCAGTATTATCGATACAGAGCATCGATCAAAAAAGATCGCTTTTTATATAACAATTACCTAAACACAATTGATAACAGTTTTGAGAGAACTTTTGTATGGGATTGTGTATCTAGTACTTTTTTAATGATATTATAGAGACCGAATGTATAGTTTTTAGAAATTTTGTCTATCTGTCTGCCTGTCTGTTAACGCATCATAAGAAAAACACTGAACAGATTTTGAAGGGTATGATGATAACTGGTTATCCGGGTCAACAACATATAGGATACTTTTTATTCCGAAAAAATATCGCTGAGTTTATACTGAACCTTAAAACGTAACTAGGGACGAAGTGAGAATGTGAAAATAACTGACGTATAACCTTTTAAATTGTATTGGTTTTTAAAGTTATAATCTACGAATAAATACTTATTATTTATTCGTAGGTAATAATTAACTATTTCTGTAAAATGATTGTGAAGAACAATAGTGAGGTTAAGTAGCAGTTGTCACAATGATAAGAAAAATCTTTTTATAATTGTTTACTTGTTGGCTAAATTTCAGTAAGGTTTATATTGAACAAAGCAAATATTTGAGGACGTAAAATATATTACAACTGAAAGTATTTTACAATCATTTGAATGCTACTTCATTTTAGGTCATTGTTTTTGCGAATATTAAATACTAAAAAGATAATATTTGATGATGAATTGCAGGTAAACAGTCAAACTTCAGATCTACATTAGTTATATAGGTATATTGAACTAGGTTAAAAACTTGTTTAATGACCTATTTTCGGGGTAGAGCATAGAGATTACTTATTCCGTATAATTTTTTTCCCTCTAAAGGGATGTGTGCTAACTGGTACCTATGCAATTTCTCGATCTGTCATAATACTCGTACGAGTATCAGATTTGGTGTGTTTTTAAATAAGCATACTGTTTATTAAAGTTTTTGTTTGTTGCTTAATCCAAGATCAAGGTTATAATAAGATGGTATGGTGGATAGATGTAAATGGCAATCAACACTTATTGAAATCTCAGCAGCATGAGCTGACTTATCTTTAATCTACACATCCATAATTGTAATTGGTAATTAAAATATTATATGTTTTTATTACATTGCAAGAGTATATTTTTTATTCATTCTTATTTTTTTAGTATGGCGCTCTAAAATACGATAAGATTTTAGAAGGCACTTAAGTTTATCCTAAAATGTGTACTAAATGATTTTTTAAACCTTTTCTCATATAGAGGATCATGCTAAGGGACTGAGTACGTTTACCGTGATGGCTGGCCTGGGTGGATTTATGGGCTACGCTTTAGGAGGAATAAACTGGGATGAAACTTCTTTAGGTAACTCACTCTATTATTTCCATTAGAAGTCATTCCCTTTCTATTCAGCCATCTATTCTTTATTTTTAGAAATATTTTTTTATACAGTGCTAGAAAATATCACAATCTTATAGTTTTAAAACTTCTTCGTGCCTATTATGAGTCTTGATATAATAATATGTGAATATTTATTTCACTTGATGACAGGTGCATTGTTTGGAGGTCACGTCAGAGCAGTATTTTTCTTAATCACCATAATATTCATAGTATGTGTAACGGCTACCATAACAAGTTTTAAAGAGATTCCTCTCAATGAGATAAATGGAAGTGACGATTACAAAAAGCTAAATGATGATCAATTCGAAGAACACTTTAAAGAGGGAGGTGATGTGGAAAAGAATACCTTGAAGAAAGACAACGCTTCATACGGTTCTTTAAATCAACCAGACCCCCCGGCATCAACAGTAGCGACAGGAGAGGATGATATTAATGTGGGTATATCTATAATCATTTTATCTTTCGAAAGAATATAGTAGGGGAGCCCAAGAGGGGATTTTCTGTAGTTACTCGAGCGCGGCAGATTAACATAAAAGAGGTTACCTTGCACTCTATTGAGTACTTTCACCATAATATAAGTCTTCTATATAAAGGGGCGCGTCTAGGGAAGCCGATTAAAATCATCATAAACTTTATAGTCGATTTTTGCCTCTTCGGCTTGTGCAAATCGGCAGATTATTGAATTGGACACTTTTCAGGATGTGACTAGCCTACCACACCTTAATCTGACGGTTTCAAGTATTTCTACCTTATCAAAACATTTTTTAAATATTTTAATCGGCTTCCCTAGACGCGCCCCTTTATATAGAAGACTTATATTATGGTGAAAGTACTCAATAGAGTGCAAGGTAACCTCTTTTATGTTAATCTGCCGCGCTCGAGTAACTACAGAAAATCCCCTCTTGGGCTCCCCTACTAATATATTTATCTGTTTTTGTTCAAGAGTAAAATATTTAGAATTTAGGAGACGATAGTTATCATCTATCTATTCATCTGCGTAGTTAAATACTAGTGTTTCCTGCGGCTCCGCCCGCGTTCTGATGACCAAAAACCAAATTCTTAGATTTTACATATTAGTATACTCTTACATTATAGTTTTTGTATTTTTTCTTAAAAATGAGATATTTTCCCGCGGTAAAAAGTATCCTATATGTTGACTCGGATAACTAGCTATCACCATACTAAATTTCATCAACACGCTCCAGCGGTTTTTCCGTGATGCGGTAACAGACAGACAGACAGACAGACAAAAATTCTAAAAACTATAGCTTTAGCCTCTGTATCGATAACAATGTTTATTTCAATAAGATTTTCCAAAAAATATTTAATGTACAGATTCGGCTTAGTTACAATTTTATTATATGTATAGATTAGCTCTTATGTTATTTACTAAGGCACAAGGCTTTGGGCCTGAAGCTTAATCCCTCCACGAACGCGGACATGCTGGCGTGTCAGTTAACAATAGATTTCTTAGAATTTTAATTAATTTCTTAGAAATTTACCTGGAGGTGTTAATACTTTAAGCTAAGTCTTAACTTTGACATCTGAATCCTAAGTGGTTTCCAGTAAAGCACTTAGAAGTCTAAGTTAATGAAAATAATTTAGCAAAAGTGGTGTTAAAAAGAGAAACAAATCTTACAATATATATTTTGATTATTCTATCTATACATAAAATACTATATATATATATATATATATATATATATATATATAAAATAAACTAAAAAAAAACCTTAAGTATATATACATAATATAATAACTAAAAAATATTATTAAAAGGAGTCCCTTTAGGCAAGGTTCCGAAGATACTGGCAGCGTTCCCCCTTTGAATAGCTAGACTAATTCTCTGTCCGAAGTAGCTGCCAGCTCTTCGGTCTCCTGTGACGTCGAATAACCTTTTTGCTATTTCCTTAAAAAGTCTTTTAGCGCTAGGACCCCACGGACCAAGAGTCTCGACACCGAAAGGAACAAAATCATATTCAGAACCTAGATCCCTGTATTTGTATGCCTTGGTTTTCTCAGCCGCTTCACAAGCCGCACCAGCTCTGTTGTTGGTAAAGAACATTGAAGTCGAGCGAAAACGCTTAAGAAATGATATCGCGTTTTTCATTTCAAGAAATAATATTTAATTAATCTTTAGTTATTATAATATTTTCCCTTGAAATAAAAATATTACCAAAATTGTAACATACTACTATTGTATACTATATATATATATATATATATATATATATATATATATATATATATATATATATATATAGACTTAATCATTCTGTATTTATTAATGTGCAATAGTAGTATGTTACAATTTTGGTAATATTTTTATTTCAAGGGAAAATATTATAATAACTAAAGATTAATTAAATATTATTTCTTGAAATGAAAAACGCGATATCATTTCTTAAGCGTTTTCGCTCGACTTCATTACTTAGCTAAAATTGTTGGTCGTTTTTACGAGATGAGAAATTTAATACAGATGGCTTGGAAATGGGTTTCTTCATTTCTTTATTTATATAAGTTAAGCTTAGATTATAATTTTGAGTTTGAATTGTTTTAAGTGTGAAGTTTGAATTGTTGAAAGAATTTTGTGATGTGGAGGTAAGATTTCTCTTTATTTTAACTAGTGCATTACAGAAAAACAACTGGAGGGATTTTGATGATATTTGGTATGAAATTGGTTTTTGGTCATCTGAACGCGTGCGTTGCCGCGGGTAATCCTAGTATTTAACTTATGCTTTATAATCGTTAAAATTCTTATTTAAAAGAGTACAGCATATAATACTTTTCTTATTCTCATTTTGACTATTATATTTCTAGAATGGCGGTATAACATTGACGGTGCCAGAGGCTCACGGAGAGCCTCTAACTCTCAAGCACTATCTCAAATCTATTGTGCTAATGCCAAAGTCACTAAAGATCGTATGCCTCACTAACCTGTTCTGCTGGATGGCACACGTCTGCTATTCTCTTTATTTTACTGATTTTGTCGGCGAATCAGTTTTCGGTGGTAATCCGGCAGTAAGTATCAATATGCCATTTCTTAAATGAATTTATTTATAATTAATAAATAATAAATAAGCATGTTGGGACATTAATACACAGAACCATCTAATTCCATGGTAAGCTTTGAGGCTTGTGTTATGGATACCAGATAATAGATACACTACACATATATAACTTTTAATACATACATATTATAAATATAATCACTCCTGACTGGAGTACAAACATTTGTGCTTATTACACAAACGAATGCCCCCAGCGGGACTCGAACCCGTGAACGCTGGCATAGCAAGTATTACAAATTGAGCCAAACGTGTCGTCAAATTATTTATATTTCAATTTTATTTCATTTTAAGATATTTTCAGTGCGCAACAGGCACAGAGACGCTTAAATAACGGCATAATTAACTAGTACAATCATCTCGTACTGTAATTGTACTGGTAGAGTAGGTAGAGTATAGAATCCTACAAATCATGCTTTGCCACGTCGAAATGAAAATTTAATATTAGAATAACCTTACATTATTCAGACTAGATTTCGTCCTAAGACAAGAACTACGTTTTATAATATGCCACTATCATATGAATTCTCATGGCGCCATCAAAAGACATGATAAAATTTATTTTACCACTGGGGGCTAATGCTATAAAAAGTTAAAGAAAGATTTATATTCGAATTTGGTATTTTACAAATAACGATGTGAGTTAATACGAGGTACTCCTTTAAAAATTGTAGATCTTTTAATATCAGCTAGTATATACTATATACGTATATTGATAAGCAAGAGCCGTGTATTTAAAAATGATAAAATAAGCCCGTTCTAGGAATGATAGTGTTTATCACAATATATTTTATTTAGTAACAGTTTTATGATGTGTAAGTTAACATTTCATTCAGTAGAATGATTCAGTTGTAGACATAGTTAATTTATAATTACGTTAGCTAGAAAGGAGATTAGTGAGTAAGAAATGGCTTCACAGATGTTGTCATTGGATTATCTCTATCAACATGACTCATTAAATTTCGAAGGATCACTTTTAAGTTTTTCTATACCCAGTATAAAAATACTTATTATTTTTAGAAATAATTCATATTTTTAATTTCTATTAATTAATTTAAATACTCATTTAAAAATAAATATACGTTTACTAAAATAATGGTTAAATATTTAATTGCCATTAAGTACAAAAAAATATTTAAATAGAAAAAAATGTATAAACCACAATGAACAAATGCGTCTAGTAATATCATCTCAGGTCAATTTTTTTTCGTAAATGATTTTTATTTCATCATCATCAATATGTTTTTGTTAACCCTCGACCCAAAAACGATGTGGTGTTATAAGTTTGACGTGTCTGTGTAATGTGGCATCGTAGCTCCCGAACGGATGAACCAATTTTGATTTTTTTTTGTTTGAAAGGTGAATTATTCGGGAGTGTTCTTAGCTATGTTATATTGATGAAAATCGGTCCAAGATGATCGTTTTTCTTTTAAATTTTAATTTATCACTGTTATTTGTATGAACACACCAATCCCATTTTTTTAAGTTCTTTGCATTAATGGCCTATTAATTATTAAGGAAAATTATAGTTCATCTAACACCACGCTACGATCCTTAGGAGTGGAGCAATTATACATTAATAACTACGCGAGATGAGCCTTATGAAAACTGCCGGATAATTTATAAAATCATATCCTATAAAGAAGGTATTCATAACACCAGTCTCAAATAAATTAATTATGTTACGGTAAAATTGTATACTAAATAATATATTCTAGAAAATATAGGGAGAGTGAGGGGTAAATGAGTGTAAGTTTGTTTAATTACACACCACGTCAAAGTTTCTAAATATGCTTACATTCGCTTCGTTTGTATTTAAATATGTGTAATTAAATGTTGAAAGCTTAAAGCTTCAGAAGTATGAGAGGTACCGATGACGATAATTTGTTACCATAGAACTAATCTGATGGTGGAATTAGGCCCAAGGGGATAGTTGAGCTCTTCAATGACGTTGTTTTAACGGCCTTATGGGACCATAAAGAACACTGTAATGTTTGTTGAAAAGATAATAAATAATCTGAATTAAAATCATAGCTAATCTATGGCTTTCTAATCGATCCATTTCAAGCCGATGTAAAGATTCAACGAAGACTCACCGTTCTTTTGAACGTGACGTGTTAGAATCGCATAAAATTATAACATTTTCAAAATACGTTGACATAACCTTCTTAAAATAATCTGAACTGAAAAGTTATTTATTACTAACATTACTTTTAAAGCACAATATTTTAATTTAAGCTTTTTGGTTTTACTAAATGATTCACGAGACAAGATGTCATGTTGATTTTAATTAGTAGGTAGGTATTTTACTTTAGGAGACTATGGATGAAACTTACTTTAGAGTATTGTCCTGAATTCATTTTTTGATTTATTTATTAAGAGACATCGCCTAACAAAATAGCAAATTTTTTATTCAAAACACTTTGTAATGCTTTTCAGATTGTTTTAATGCATACCATTTAATTTTAATTGGAAGCGCCTAACAAAATAATAATAGCATTTACATAGCTTTGAAATAGCAATTAATTAATTACAGGCACCTGTGGGCAGTGAAAGTCGTGTGAACTACGAAGCCGGCGTTCGTTTCGGATGCTGGGGAATGGCAATGTATTCATTATCCTGCGCTTGTTATTCTACAGTTATTGAGAAACTTATAAAAATGCTAGGGTAAGCTTATTAAACTTATTAAGTATATATATTTAATGTACGAGTAAATTTTGAAGTTGTAGAAATATTATTAACTAGCGACTCACCCTCGCTTCGCTCAGGTTCGTCCCTAGCTTGCTTCCCAATACAAACTTTCATCCCCATTTTCACTCCCTTAAGGGATGATTTCCGGGATAAAAGTATCCTATGTCCTTCCCAGGGTCTCAAACTATCTTCTTACCAAATTTCATCTAAATGGGTTCAGTAGATCCAGAGATTACCTCACAAACTTTACCTCTTTATAATATTAGTATAGACATGTGTCATTTTTATATCAATTCTAATCTTATTGATTGATTAGAAATACTGCAATCGCAAGACAATAAAAATAATGTTATTGAAGATTATCTTTTTAAATTTGTACTACTTTTTAGTGACTAATGGTATTTTTTTTAATTTTTCACATGTATAATTAAAAATAAAGATTTTTACAGAGCGACGTAGTTCTTGTTGATATCACACTTAAAAGTAATAAGGATTCAACCTGTTAAAAAATATCTACAATTGTAAAAACTTCATTAACTTAAGATAGATATTACGAGTACTATGAATTTCATTACTTCTGAAGAGGTTTAAGTTGCGCTTCAACGTAGTCTCATTTAGGAGTACTAATAGTCTTGAAAATCTGGAAAATATTTTATTTCACTTATTACGTTCATGAAAACACTTTAATTTACTAAAAACATATATATTACATTATCACAAGTTATATAAAAATATTATCTTCTACTATATATTTCATTTTTTCAACAAAGAGATACTACAAACACCTAATTATTATATTATTATAAGTTCAAGACGTCATTAAAATTTCTATGCAAAATAAAGGACAAGTCACCATAACTTTAATACATAATATTTATAACCTACGCATTTCTAACGTACTCATTTGCATTATTTACACATACGGAAGATGTTTAGCCTTCAAACATATTGACAAAAGGGGTATTTTTATTTACCCTTCAACTTGACTGGATGCTACTTCCTAGTAATGAGATCAGACAGCCCTTGACTTTCAACTCGGACGCTTGAGAGGTTTCCAGATATAATGGCGCCTTCAGAATTTAATGCTCTTTAAAATAGTAGAGTTTTAGTTCACATCGGGGCTATTTCATTAGTTTTAATTTTATTAACAATGACTTTAGTTTTCCATGGTCACCAGCAGACCTCGACTATATCTGATTACCTTTTTAAATATGAGTATAAAACAATGGATGTCGATGTAGATATTAATATTTCCATTAACTTTTTGAAAGCTTTAAATTTTTACATTTCAATTTTCACACTTATTTCACTTAGTCATTACTATGAACATTGAACAAAATATTCGTTTGTGCCACATTCATATGTCAAAAGGAAAAAAAATCTTAAAAAAAAGTAAAAATAAGTATAAATTAATATTAGCCAATAAAAATAAGTATAAATTATATTATTATTAGCCAATTTGTGCCAACGTGAAGTGGTAATTGATTTTTTTTTAAACCTTTTCACATTAAACATATTTTTACATGGAGAACGAGAGTAGTGAAAATTATGGCAGCTCAATAATAACTTTTAGAGATGGAATATTACATATTTCTTATTAGATTTTGACCAGACTTGCTATTGTTGAAAGGTGAAAATCAAGTAGATTCTGTATCAAATATTTTAATTTTTTTAAGATTTAGCCTTCTTGATTTCAGAGCAAAGAAGGTGTACGTAGGTGGACTCTGTACGTATAGCTGCGGCATGCTCATGCTCTGCCTGCTGCGAGCGCGTGCCGCGGTGCTGCTGTTTAGTTGGACTGCCGGAATCATGTACTCTACGCTCTTTACTATGCCATATTTGCTCGTCGCACATTATCACGCTACTGGCATGGTGAGTTAAAAACTTTATGAAACACAGTACAGTACCGAATATAAGAATGATGAGAAGAGAGACAATATAGCTTTCTAATTAAACTTTTAAATCTTTGTTCAAATGCCAATCTTTATGATCTCTACATAGGTACTTTTTTTAAATAAAAGCATTAACTATTTTTTACACTACGCTAATAATTACGAAGTTTTAGGATCGATAACAACAACATTACGTTTTTTATGGAGGATAAAATGTAAATATTCTAAACATATCCAACCTAAGCTAGGAAAAGATCAGGTTCTACAGGATTTAACAAAAAAAGTCAACTTTTTAACATTATTATTTTACTTAATGCACTACTACTTATTGCATTACATAAGAGCGTTCCAGCCTTCAATCAAAGCTTAGTTTGCTTTAAAAATTTTCACCATTAAATCGTGTGTGACACTCACTAATACATATATTTATAGCAATTTTTTTAAAATAATTCAGTTTGTATAATCGTTGTTTCTCTCGATTCCAGTGGGACAGTGAAGGTGGGGGTAGTGAGCAAGAACGAGGTATAGGCACTGATGTAGCAGTGGTCAGCAGCTGTGTATTCGTGGCACAACTCCTCATCTCAGTGATCATGGGATTTGCTGTAAAACTAACAGGCTCTACAGCCGCGGTGGTCGCTGTGGCCGCCACCCTTGCCGGAGCCGCTGCCTTTACAGCTACGAAAATAACTTATCTCGATTTGTAAAATTACATATAGTAGGGTAATAGTTCATTTGGTAATTTAATAGTTTTTCGTACTGTTCGCTCGGGTAACTTTCGTCAATCTTTTTACATTTTGCAATAACAACAACTAACTTAAAATAAAAATTCTTATGTTTTTGGTATACATGAAAAGTTAAAATTTGTTACGTATACTGTAAATATTATATGTAGTGTAAATAAAATCTTACTTTCATTCTTTACCATCCTTGATAATTTAATTTTAATCGTTTTTGTGATGCTTACGTTACTTACATTAATAGTTTTAATATATATTATATTTTGATTTTTTCAGACCATGTCCAATTCCCTGGAATTTTTTTGTGAAAAGCAATTTTATATTGGTAAAACAAATAGTTGTATTAAATTATTTCTCATTTTTATGATAAAAGAGGTTCTTCTTTAAAGTGTGAACAAATTCTATCATTTTTATTTATTACTACATTTGTATTATATCAATACACTCGATATATTCTATTGTTCCGTTTCGCGCAAAGTTTGTCCATTTAGACATTTTGGTAAAAAAGTAAAAGTCCAGGTTGGCTTTGAAACAAACTCTAAATAAAGAGTTTGTTTCAAAGCCAACCTGGACAACAAAGTTATCTGAGCTGATCTATACCTATGTCTATATAAGTTTTATTATGATTATTATAATTTATTTAGCACAGACAAAATAATGTTAAATTGTTATAAACTTTGTTTACTTTATACTAAATTTCATTGTTACAACTGTATATACTTTAAATTTTAAAAATAAGTTAAATTATTACATTATTATTATAAAAGCGAAAGTATGGATGGATTATTATGAAAATATATATTATTGTTTCATTATCACTCACTCTGGATATTACAAATCAATCTAGATGAAATTTGGCACAGAAATAGATTATAGTTTGTAATAGGACATAGATTACTTTTTATCCCGGAAAAATATATGGTTCCCGTGGGATAGATTTGTGTTTGTGTTTGTGTTTCACGAACCCGAGCGAAGCGAAGGCGAATCGCTAATAGAAATATATGGTCTGTGTTACCGTAGTAAAAAAAGACGCTTATATAGTAAAGACATATATACGAGACATATATATAAGACAAATATACGTTGTTCAACTCTCTATATTAATATTTTATAAATGCTATATTCAATTTTAGAAAAATAATGTAATCATTATTACAGTTATTAAGACTATATCATATTTATTATACAATTTCAAATGTACATGATATAATAATAAAAGTAGTTTGTAAAATGATATGCATAGATATAAATAATACCTTTAAAGAAACTTCGGGAATAAGGAGCATCTGAGTAACTAGAAAAGTTTTGATAGACAGAAACGTATATGCAATGAAAAGTTATACGATGATTTTGAAATTTTGCATTTGTCTTTCCAGAAGTTAAACATTAAATAACTTAGCAAAGAAAACATTATGCTTCTGTATATTTTATATACTTAACTAAAAATATATTATGACTTGCTTTTAAGAACTTAGGCACAAGCTTCTAACTTAATTTCCACGATTATTTAAATATTAAAAATATTTCTATAAATAGTACATACCAGTACAGTTTGATGTATTTTTACTTAGTCTTTATATTTTTGGCGATGTGTGGACTTTAGGTAGTGTAGCATTAAGGCATTTTTTTCAACTTGACAAGGCGGTAGAGTCTCGCGTAGTAGGCTGAGTAAAGCAAAGGCATTGACTGTGATCTTGGAGCATCTAGTGCTGATGCTCTAGATGACCCAAGGTGGCTAATGGTAGTGCGATTTAATTAATAAAAAAATGTTATATCATATAGTGAATATCATTAAGTAAACGATATTATTTGATTCTATAAAGATACTTAAACAAATTGTAGAGATTTGCTGAGTTGCGAGTTTATTCGAATGAATAATATTTCTTATAAAGGTTACAGGAAATTGAAAGCTCTATATGTTTTATAGTAGCTACTTTAGACCCAGGTTGGGCTGGAGAGACGATACCAATTTTCTTCCAATATGGCTTGATGAGGGATTTACGGAGATTGTCTACTATGCCGGAGGTTGTAGAATGGTTATATCTCCCATAAAGATGGATGGTTATTTCCAGTTTGGCTAAGATAAAATGCAGCTGCTACATACTCTATCGATACTGGTCAAAATGAAAAAAAACTATTTTCTTAAAGTTAAATCAAGAAGTCTTTTTATGTATCGCGAATCATTTCTAGAATATACTAGGTATATCAATTTCGTGTAAAAGGTTTGAAAGCTTCTAGATAATAATGATTTTATTTTAAGTAAATAAAAACACACGTTTGTTTTAAATTTAATCTATCCTCCATTATAAACTTTTTCTCACTGAATTAATAATAATATTTGTGTATTTTTAATGAGTTTTTGTCACATTTTTCCTCTTTAGTTAATATTAAAAAATTATGTATGTTATAAAAATGTTGTACGCATATATCTATACAAAAATATGTGATAAATTCGTAAATGTTAAATAAAAATATCATAAATTTATATGCAATTTTGATTTTGAAATGGTTATTAGTAGATAGTTTGTTTAGTATAGATGTAATATTTTTTTCAACCGGCTTAATCAAAAAGGAGGAGGTTCTCAATTTGGCTGTATGTTTTTTTAATGTTTGTTACCTCAGAACTCCGTCATTTATTAACCGGTTTGGACAATTTTGTTTTGTTTAAAAGTGTATACTTCCAGATGGTCCCAAATTTCAAAAAAATACCACCCCCAAGTGTGGAAAAATAGGTAATGAATCTAATTGTCATATTGACTTGAAACTTTGCATGTGTTTCTATTTCCGTTGTTAGTGCAGTGGTTCCGTATCGTTGACCTGATCTGGTGGTAAGGCCAGAAGGTGAATAGGTGGAACTCTTCAACCACTAATATTAGATACTTTGAGTTTTTAGGCTTATTTTGTTTAATTTAGTAAGCCTAACACGTTAGAATCGGATTTTAGAGCCATTTTTAGTGTTACTAATAAAAGCGAATTTTAGTTTGTAAGTATTCGTATAAAAATTGGCATCAAAGTAACTTAAACGGTTTAAGCGAATATTTTATTAAAAAACTTTCTTCTTACTTTGCTCCTACATGTCTACACTAAAAAGGGGAAAAAAAACATTTTAACAAAAAAATAAAACCGACTTCAAAAAAGCCAATAAAAAGAAAAAATAACTGATCGGTAGTTTTCATTTACTATACATACCTAATCAAATATTTTCGAAGTCGGTGCCAGCCGATACAAAGCAAAGCACACCGACTTTGAAAATATTAGATTAGGCATGTATAGTAAATGAAAACCACCAATCAGTTATTTTTTACTTTTAAGTATATATATATAATAGTTTAGTCTCCGCTGACAGCACATGAATTTTAAATATAGAGTGCCATAGAGCTAAAAACGAATCCGAATAATAATGTTTTAAAATAATATATAATGCTTTAAAATTGTATGCAAATATAAATTTGTATAATATTACATCTGTCTAATATAATATATAATATAGAAACTATTTGTTTCTAGAATGTCTTTCACATTCTGTATTTTCTTTAACAGCGAAAATGGCTGCGCCTTTCAAAGTCGCGCTTCATCTTGTATTATCTAGGCTTCAATGGAAAGTGAAAAAATTAATGAAATGTCACAATGCTATTTTGCCTTGCCCGCAAAATAATTTAAAGTTAAAAATAAAAGGCTTATAATATACACAGTTATTCTTTTAAGTAGGTACATATGTATGTACATATATTAAAAGTATGTCACTACAAACCACTAAATAAATAAAGAAATAAACTAAAATAAACTGAATAATAAATGTAATCAAGCATGACTCATACAAAATAATAGTAATTTATATTTAATACTAGCCACTCAACCTCGCTTCGCTCGTGTTCGTCCCTAGGTACGTTTTGATTGTTTTGAATGGAAACCTAAATGTTTTTCTAAAATAAAAGTACCCTAAGTTACTCCTTATAACATCAGTTATCTGCCAGTGAAAGTCCCGTCAAAATTAGTCCAGCCGTTTTGGAGATTAGCCGGAACAAACAGATAGATAGAAAAAATTAAAATTGAGTTTTTCTTATAAGTACCGTATTTAATTTCATATGTATTTAGTAAAAAGCTGTTATTTTGACATTACAAACAGACACTTCAATTTTATTTATCTGTATAGATAGCTTTATAAAATACGTTGAATGGAATTCAAATAACATCCATTGTACTTAATTTAACGTTAAAGTTACATAAAGTTGTCAGCACATTGATAAAGGTAAAGGTGAAACTTCACAAGTCTACAAGCTCGAAGGAGAGAAACTAGTTAATATATGCTAAGAGTCTAGTGACGCTGAAAGTTTCAAGAACTTTACATTATTAGAATATTGTAACAGTTGCAAACAGATATACGTATATATATATATATATATATATATATATATATATATACGTATATATATATATACGTATATATATATATATATATATACGTATATATATATATATATATACATATTTATATAGAAGCGACTTACCCTCGCTTCGCTCGGGTTCGTCCATACGTACGTTTTAATTTTTTTTAAGCTTACTCTAAGGAGTATGTGTTATAAGTAACATCCGCTATCTGCCAGTGAAAGTTTCGTCAAAATAGGTCCAGCCGTTTTGGAGATTAGCCGGAACAAACAGACAGACAGACAAATGGACAAAAAAAATGTGTTTTTCTTGTATGTACCGTATATAATTCCATATGCATTTTTTTAAAAAGCTGTTATTTTGACATTGCATATAAAAACTTCAATTTTATTTATCTGTATAACCTATACATATTATAAAATTGTAACTAAGCCGAATCTGTACCTACATTAAATATTTTTTGGAAAATCTTATTGAAATAGATATTATTATTATCGATACAGAGGCCGAATCTATAGTTGTTAGAATTTTTGTCTGTCAGTTTCTTACCGCATCACGGAAAAACCAATAGAGGAATT